AATGAAAACTTAATCGAAAATCTTATCTTACTTTGGCCCCTTTAAAAGGATTATCATAAAATCATTGCCCTATCCAGGTAATTTGAGTACCATGTTTAGCTAAATATGCTGTTATGTTTTTGCTTTGTCGCCATTTTTTAAAAAATCAGATTTGATTTATAATATAAACAAACCCATGTTAAAAGCTCTTTGTTGGTGCACGTTTTATAATCTTGTGCATTCAATTTTTACTAGCTCTTGTTGTAACGACGACCTATTTCGAAATTTATATTGTTTTGAGCAAATGTAATTCTTAAAATTTACCGTGAGAACTTTGGATTTACCGTGAGACCGTGAGATTTGTTATCAAACAGTGAGTCTTACGACAAAACCTGGAGAGTTGGAAGGTCTGCATTGATGTGATATGTAAGTGAAAAATTAAAAAATATTTTCCAAAATTTTATTAAAATAAGTTTCATATTGAAAAGGAACTTGGTACTAAAAGTTGACACTAGAGTCAACAAAATTGGATTTGTAGTCAGCAAATGTTAGCTAAGGGGCCATCCATAAAGTACGTACACAGGCATGGAGGACGAGGGTTTCCCAAAAGCGTACGAACGCGTACAAGAGGGGGGGAGGTGGTGTTAAAGACAATGAGTACGTACGCGGTTTGATCTCTCCTAAACATGATTTTTTTTTTTTAAACATTAAATTTCACGTGTGTAACAAATCAGAATTGTTATTTTTTCTGATTTTTTGGCAAAAAACAGATACATTGCCCCTCTTTCTAACCCCCTCCCCTCACATCATCAAGATCTTTTCTCGAACAACCCTACGGTACATATATGTTTTTTTTTACCAAAACCATCTATTCTTTTTTAATTTTTTTTAAATAACGGAACAGCTTTTAAACAGTGACTAAAACTTCATTTACTTCGTTTGAGAAATACTAAAACTATTAGTATAAATTATACTAATAATTTTAGTACTTCTTATACTATAAATTATATAATATGTAACAAAAGGGTCGCCTCATTTATTATAAAAATATTTTTATAATAACATGTTACATTGAAAGTTAGGAGTCGAAGCATAAATTTTTATGGCCAAGATTACAGTCTCCGTAAACATGATCAATCAGTAATGCAGTTTATAATCCCAAACGTTTTAAAAATAACTGAAGTAAAAACATTTTAAATACCATCAGAGTTTTGTTTTTCCTTTTATAACAAATCTAAATGAATTTTATTCTCTAAAGTTTAGATATAAAAGATAGTGTTTTATTTATTATTAAAATAAAAACAAAACTCTGTTGAAAATAGAACTTTTCATTCGTTTAGATTCTAAACGCATAGAAATTCTATTTTTTTAACTTGAGAAAATTCGATTTACGTTAAAGATAAAAGTGGAAACTTGTATTACGCGTATTACTTACACGTATTTTCAACACGTGTTTTCATGTACACTTATAACAAATTTTAATCATGTTTTACATAAATCCACTTTTGGAAAAACTTTTCAACAAATTTTAGGTAAACCACTTTAAGTTAACGTTCAAACATGTATTAAATAAATTAAATAAATCCACTTTAAGCTAAATTTTCATCATGTTTTAAAAAAATATACTGAAGACGAATTTTAAATACATTTTAAATGAAGACCCCTTTAAAACAAATTTTTAAACATGTTTTAAATAAATCCACTTTAAGAGATGTTTTTAATAACATTTATAATAAATCTGCTTTAGGCGAACTTTTCATACATATTTTAATAAAGACCACTTTGAGCAAAGTCTCAAATATCTCATCAATAAATCCACTTTAAGCTAAATTTTAATCAAATTTTATAGAAATATATCTTAGGAGAATTTTAAAACACATTTTAGATAAATCTTTTTTATAAACATTTTCAAACATCTCTTAAATATATCCACTTTATGCTAAGTTCATACATATTTAAAAAAAATTTACATTGGTTGAGTTTTCAAACATGTTTCTAATAAATCCACTTTGGGTAAAGTTTTAAACATTTTGAAATAAATCCACTTTAGGCGAAGTTTTAAACATCTCTTAAATAAATCCACTTTAAGTTTTATTTTATACATGTTTGAAAATTAAGTTATAAATTAAGTTTTTAAAGCGCGTTTTAAATAAACCCATTTAAGACAAAGTTTCGAACTTTATTAAATCTATTTTAAACGAATTTTCTATTATGTTATCAATAAATCCACTTTAGACCATAGTCATTAGAATTCTTTTCACGACTATGATTAGACAAAGTTTACACATGTTTTCATTAAATCTTACTTAAAAAGAATTATCCCACCCAGTCTCTTTATCATACCATAAATGCCAATGTTTATATGTCTTAACAATCCCGATGTTTATTCATCTTAACAATTTTGATGAAATCTACGTTCGAAAATTAAACTACCTCGATTATTGTATAAAATATTAGGTAAATGTGGAATAGTCCTCTTTAAGTCGATCTAACGTTATTATTTTCGTTAAGTGGATCCTTAACTGATAAAAAAACGCTAAGTGGACTTTTTTTTTTTTTTTTACTTTTTTTTGGCATACAATACTCTCGTTAGCTTATAATCCATTTAAGATTACTTTTTAACTTGGTTTTGTTTAATAAAAGCATTTTTAATAAAAAATTTCAAAGGTTTTGTAAAATGCCACTTTCAGTAAAGATTTTGACAAAAGTCTACTTAAAGTCGATCTAGCGTTATATATATATATATATATATATATATATATATATATATATATATATATATATATATATATATATATATATATATATATATATATATATATATATATATATATATATATATATATATATATATATATATATATATATATATATATATATATATATATATATATATATATATATAACGAAAATAGAAGTAATGTAAATTTAATTCCGAATAATATTAAATACAAAGTTTTGCCAATTAAAGTTCAACGTTAAATCAACGTAAATACGATATTGTTCCAACTTAAAATACAACGTTGGGCCAACGTATAAAATAAAACGTTGAGTCAACGTAGAAAATATAACCATTTTCCGACTTTAAAGAAACGTTATAAAAGTTGCAAAATTACGTGCACGAAATATTATTTGGTTTAACCCTCAGTTTTCAATTAATGTCAAGACAAACGTAGCCAAACTTTTCCTAAATTTAATTGATAAAAACCTCCCAAAATATCATAAATTCCATAAACTATTTAACTGAAACAATCTAAAGGTTAGCTACAGCTGTCTTCCAAATATTCGCAACATCATCACTTTACATAACAATAAAATTTTATCAAATTCTTCAAACCTTAATGCTCCAACATGCAATTGCCGAAAGATTAATTAATGTCCACTTAACGAAATGTTTAATTAAAAATGTCATCTATTTATGTAATGTTAAGACAAACCCGCAAGACGAAGGTAACTATTATATTGGACTTACAGAAAAAACTTTTAAAGATCCTTTTTACAAGCATAAAAATTCCCTACGTTATGAAAGTGGGTCAAACTCTACCGAACTTTTTAAATTTGTGTGGAGCGCTAAAAAGAAAGGTTTAAATCCTGTCCTTTTGTGGAAAATTTTAGACCAAGCTGAACCGTTTAAACCTGGTGGTAAGTTATGCAGTTTATGTTTGATGGAAAAATATCATATAATTTCATCACAATTTCTTTTACTAAATAAACAAAACGAACTTGCGACTAAGTGTCGCTATGAAAATAAATACATGATGAATAACTTTAATGTCATCAAAGAGGACACTCTTAAGGACATTTTTAAGATTTGTAACATCTGATGATCGCTATTTGCGTGAAACTCCGAGTAATGTTTTATATAAATCGAGTGTTATAATTATTTAGTTTTTACTATATATATATATATATATATATATATATATATATATATATATATATATATATATATATATATACAGTGGCGGAACTACTGGACGCAGGACCCTGCGTTGCGGGGGGGGCCTACCAGCTATAGGGGGCCCTCATATAAAAAAAGTTATACTCTCAATAATATTTATACTATAAAACTCTTTTCCGCAAAAAAAACATTCTTTTGCGGGGGGGGCCCAAATTTTGAAGTTCCGCCACTGTATATATATATATATATATATATATATATATATATATATATATATATATATATATATATATATATATATATATATATATATATATATATATGTATATATATATATATATATATATATATATATACAGGGCCGGCGCGAGTAGGTGTCAGGTGGGGGGGGGTGCCATTACAACTTTTGGCCACTAAAAAAAAAAAAAAAAAAGGTCCTCGTTTTCCTAAATTTGCCGACTGTCATGACGACATTTGCCGACTGTCTAGCCTATATCGAAAGGGGGTCCACATTTACCGACTAACTAGGTCCAATTTGCCGACTATGGGTCCAATTTGCCGACTAAGGGTCCAGTTTGCCGACTAAAAATCCATGATGGGGGGGGTGTCACACACCCCTATCGCGCCGGCCTTGTATATATATATATATATATATGTTTAAAAAAAGTATGTTTTTATTGGCGTAGCGCTCCGTCAGTAAAACAAGGGCGCTAAAAATATACTTTTTGCGCACGATGCAAAAATAGTAGATTTAAATGTCAAAAGATTTGACGTTATAGATTTTGAACATTTGCTTCATGCAAGCTCTTCATATCTGCTAAGATGCATTATTATAATTATCAAGAAACTAAAATGAAGTGTTAAAGAATATATAAGCAAAACTGGCATGTATCTAGAATATCTTATATTCTCCGTAGGACGAGCTTAAAGGAGAATTTATTCTTAACTTTGAAGTTCAAAATTTTAATTTGTTTTAGAGTTGTTTTAAAACTATAAATGTCATATTTTGTTAGCTTTATCAACTCATTAAATGTCTTTTTAAATGTAGTTTTTTTTTATGTTGGTTTATATAAAATAAATATTACGTACTTTAAAAAATTTTGTGTTAAAAGATTTTTTGTCTTATTTAGTATATATCTTTTATTTAGCTTTTATAAAACTGTTTTTGTTTATAAAGATAACAAAATGCTCTATTTAATTGGTCTTGGGCTGGGTGATGCGAAAGATATAACCATAAAAGGTTTAGAGATAGTACAGAGTGCACATAAAGTATTTCTTGAAGCATATACATCAATTATAAAAGGAGGAAAAGAAGAACTAGTAAGTAATTTACATGTTTTTAATTCCTGGGAAAAAAACTTTACTATAATATTTTATATTCTAGGTATGTGACATAATTTATTTTTAAACATCTTTTAAACTTCCAACAAGGCTGCAAACGACCATTATTAGAGTTGGAAGTACAAATAAGTAGTCTCCTTGTCTATAGTAACCTTATCGTCCTTGAGGAGGTGAATTAACAAAAAAAAAAAAATTATTAGAATAAAACTAGACGAAAAAAAATTTTTGAAGCACTTGGGAATAGTCCCAGAAAAGAATAAGATTTAATTGAATGATGAGTAACATGAGAATTTTACTAGATGGCACAAGAGACGTTAGCTCTTTAGAGCAGTGGCCATTATAGTATTTATAGAAAAGAGAAAGAGAAGCAATATTATGACGATGTGACAATGGTTTAAGGTTAGCTGCAAGAGCTGGTCCAAACATTTTTACAATGCGTTTTTGCACTTTGTCTTAAAGAGAAAGAGCATCATTTGATGATCCACTCCAGGTATGACAACAGTATTCCATCGAAGGATAGATTTGAGATTTATAGGGATAAAGAATAGAATTCGAAGTAAGAAGGTGGCGAGTACGATAAAGAGATGTAATCTTAGTTGCTTAAATACTAGTTAGTAATATTTGTTAGGTATCTGACACACAATTTTAAGACTGAATAAATACTAATTGTTGTATACCATCAGAAAGGGTTTTAAAGCATTTTTTTAAAAGTAAATATCAAATTTAACAGTTCTACAAAAAGTTATGAAGAATAAGAAGCAAATTTTGAGTATATGAATTTATAAACAAAACATTTTTGAAATTAGTCATTTCAAAAAGAAAATTCTTAAAATTATTTATTTTAGACAATTCAGTTAAAATTTTGAAAAGTTTACTCATTTATCTTTTGTCATCATAAATATCCAGAATTAGAGAGGATATCAAACCACCAACCAGTTTTTTTAAGGTTTGACACATGATTTTCTCTCAGCCAAAATATGCTGCACTTATACATGTTAAAACAGTAAAATATACTTTTCAATTTCTACACTGGTTTCACTCATTTTAGAACTATTTGTAATCAGCATTAGTTCTACTCAAAGTAGAACTAATGCTGATTACAAATATTTTCTCAAATAACTAAGTTTTTTTTTTGTTTTTTTTTATGAAGTAATTTTAATATGCAAAAAGTTGTTACGGTTTTACTCCAGATTGCCACTAAAGGTGTATATTAGTGTTGTGGTAGATGTGGTGGTAATGATTTAATACACCTTAGTATCAAAAATGTTTCAATCTTAAAAAATATTTTTATTTTCATTAAAATGAAAATAAAAATATTTGTAAAAATTGAATTAAGTGTAAAAATTGAAAATTATATTTTACTAAGTATAAATGCAATGTATTTTATTATGCAATAATGCAGTGTATTTTGGCTTAGAGAAGTTTGTCCTCCTTAAATCTTAAAAAAAAAGCTTTGAAAACTCATTTATTAAAAATTGGATGTTTCTTAACTTAACTTTTGGTTTTTTTAACAATGGTTTTAATATGAAAAACTTTTATCATTTCCTACCTATTCACCACCACATCCAAATTGTTGTGGATGGTAACTTAAAGTTGTAATGTGTATGGTTGTAATGTGGATAGTAACTTAAAGTTGAGTAGTGGATAGCAGTGGCGTCGGAAGGTCGCTAAAGTGTGGGGGGGGGGGCTGAAAACATATATCAAAAAGGAAAAAGTTCCTCAATTTTGTATGATACAGCAAGTAGATGAAAATCTAAGTCCACTTAGGAAAAAAATTTCTTCCACATTAGTTATGCAAACTTTTAGTGCATCATAGCTCTTTGAGCAAGTGTTGTGGTGTGGTTCTGATTTAACATTTATGCACATTTAGTTAAGCAATGTGGTGAGCAAATTTCTTATATTATTATAAATGTCTTGAAATAAAGACACCTTTTTTCCATATGTTAAAAGCTGTAATACTTCAATTTTGTTTAAACCCCAACAACGACTTTAGAGTTCTTAATGATAACTATCATATTTTCCCCATTAAAAGCAAGTTTTCTTAGCAATAATTCTTTAAAATAATTTTTTTGGAAGATTTTCGGCCAATCTGACAATTTTATAATTGATTAAATCTTTCCTAAATATATGAATAACTAATTCTGTTTAAAAAATAGTGACTGTTTGTGTAAAAGAAATGTTGGCTAGGGATTTTTACTCTTGTAAATTTGCCAAGAAAAGTCAACTGACACATTCTTTCTCAAACCATGTGATTCAAGAGGTTTGAATAATCAGTTATAATATTCAAATAAACAAGGGAATTTTAAAGAATAATATTTTTTTGTAATGTCGTTTTTAATCAATCCAGCCATTTGGTTTTTATATCAAGAACTGTCTTTTTTATTTGCTTTTCCAAATTGGTAGGCCAATTTGTACATCTTTTAAATTCAGTCTATTCAGAAAATCAGCAACTCTCAATCAACTAGAAGTTTATCTTCTACCATCACCTCATTGTTTTTCTTGTAACAATTTTTATTTTAAACCTGATTCAAGGAATTTATTTCTGTGTTTTCCTCATGTTCTAGATAATGTCAAAATGCTAAATATAGAAACTATTGTTCACTATAAATTGTGTAGAACTTTCTATGTCTTCTTTTTGTATAGGCCTTCTCTAAACTCCAGTCTTTTTTTATAGCTTTTTATTTAGGTTGGCATTTTGGTGACCTTATTTTTCCTAATTCTAATGGGATGCTTTCATGGGTGCCCCTGATAAAAATGCATAAAAGATTTGATGGGTCCCTATATGTGTGTGTTTGTATATATATATATATATATATATATATATATATATATATATATATATATATATATATATAGGCCTTGTTTTAAAGCATTACACCTAGAGCGATTTACGTACGCCTTAAGCGATTTTTATGTACGCGTAGAGCTGTTTTGGTTAAGCTCTTTTTTATCATTTTTTAACTTATAAATTAGCGGTAACATAAAAGAAGTAATTAATTTTTTAAAAAACCACATTAACTTTTAAATAACGATATGTAAAGATATTTATTAAAAAAAGAATTTACTTTAAAAATAATTGTTGTAACTTTTCATTGCGATATATCTTTCCTTTTTATAGCAATTAATTTGACGCTAAACTTTTTATCCAAATATTTAGCAACATGAAAAATTGTTTGTCAATCCTTAAAGGGATTCCTAAGTGCTATAAAGATATGATCTCATATAAAAGAGCATTAAAAAAAAAATGTAATTTTTTAAAGTTTTCAGTAAAAAACTTTAAAAAAATCTATATTCCATATTTATTAATACAGAATATAAATATTTTTTGTAATATAGATTTTTTAAGAGTTTTTTACTGAATTTATAATAAAAAACATTTGCAAAAAAATTTGTAATTAAGAATTGACATTTTTTTTAATATCTCAAAAAATTTTCGAGATATTAAAAAAAATGTCTTTGATTTTCTTATTAGTTAAAGGTATATAGATACCTTTACCTTTAAGTTATGCAGGGGGAGGGAGTCGGCACAGAAAAAAAAAATTACCTGTTACTCGCAATACTTGAATGAAGACAATTTGTTAAATTTCTTCTGCGTGCGATTCAATAAGTTTTTTTTTTTCATAAATCAAGTTATATTATAAGGTAAAGAAATCATGAGTAGACTACAACATCTGCTGATGACACTAATATTACGTTGAATATATTTATATAACGGAGGTTTTATTATGCACGCGCACATTACAGGTTCTGTTAAATAAATACTAAGGCACATTTTAGTTTAATGACAGTCTTTATTTTTTACTAATGAATATGTATTTTTCTTTATAAAACAAAACAAACTAGTATATAAAAAACCTTGTATATTT